CTCTCTCTCTCTCTCTCTCTCTCTCTCTCCCTTATGGAAACATTTTCTCAGCGACGTTGACTCACGACCTTATGTGCTGTGTAATTATTTAGATGGAACCCGCCATTGCAACAACCGCCAATGCTGGAGAGACCAACATTATGGAAACAGAAGCCATTGTAAGTGGTCTTTCGCCTGGAAGTGAGGTCAACGAAACGACAGTTCATCAGCAGACCAGCGGCGGGGGCACAGCAATTGCTGCATGTGAAAAGGTGTTCGCCACAATTCATATAGAAACTGAGCAGATGCTCGCTGACGTGGGTGACAACGATAGCGGTGCACGAGGGAACAACGTTGAGATAGAGAAGGTGGGTGGAGAGAGAAACGAGGAAGATGTTGGCAGCGAGGGTCCTCACAGTGGATGCATTGTCACAGATTTAAATGTGAGAAAGACAATGGCAGGAGATAGATACCCGTACGATGTGAATTGGGTGCTAGGTCGTGTTCAACCAGGTATCGTTGGAGGTGTGCATTGCTTTGCTTTCAAGGTTGCTGATCAGTGGGTTGTTGTTCGTGCCCCAAAGAAAGAGACATGGCGTAACGTATGTCTGTCATTTATCTATGACAGAGTGTTGAGGCTGAATGATGGGGCACCGACTGACGATGCAAGCCGATACGCATTGGAGATGTACCGTGTTCTACAGGCAAAGGGTGAGTTGCGGCTAAACGATTTTCTATATGACAACTTTGACTGCGGATAGCAGTGGGTGTTGGGTGGCCAACAACGCAGGGTGGGGACGCCAGTCAGCCAGGACGACGCAAGAAGAGATCCTCGGTGGGGTTGGGTGCCATCTGCAATCCTATTTGGATACGGTCGTGTTAAGATGCAAGTGCGTGATATGATGCGCAATGTGTGGAGCGCGCATTACGTGAACGGCATGTTTTCCTTCCGTCATTTGGACAGAGAAACGACTACAAACGAAAAGGAGGCGGTGACATGCCGGTCACGCGATGCACGCATCTTCGACCCGCCACTTGACAATCCTGTCGAGTTGACCCTCGCTGAAGGGATGGTGTTTAGTGGTGAGAAACGCATCACATACGTCCACGTAAGGGGAAAAGAAGCCACATTTGATGGCATCTGTATGGACGTATGGGACCATGTGGCAATGAGGAAGGATGTGGTTGCAGCCAGTAACATTGCGGCCCATGTGATTCAAGAAGGGCAGTTGTACCAGCATGTGGGTCGTGACATGTACGGGTACCATGTGAATTGGGTACCTGGTTCTTTGCATCCAGCAGTTGTTGATGGCAAAGTGACACTGGCAGCAAAAATGCAATCTGGTGAGTGGCTGCCTTTGGGTTGGATGCATGCTGGCGTTGTGGAGCATTGGCAGTTCTTGGTGGTGGTGACACGTGTCTCCGTTTGCAGTCCTCATGTGAAG